TAGCGTCGGGGAGGGTGTCAGAGGAGGGAGAAGAGCGGCAGATGGTCGGCGTGGACCCTGACGTGGGAAGCTCCGAATTCTCCAAGTTCCCACAGCCAGAGTGCACCTGCCCTCCCCACTCTGTCACCCCGTCCTGCTCGCCTGGGCCTATATAAGATCCGGGGTTGCTCGTCTAAGGCATCATTCGCTCACTAGCGTTTCGTTCCAAACCAACTCAGAAAGCACACATTTTTCGAGTCTTCTCGAATCAGACATTACATATAAAAATACACACGCTTTTTCCAAAAAAAGAAGAAGAAGAAGAAGAGTTCGAGTTTTGCCGCGAGTTCCAGTGAACATCGGATCGTGGAAAGGAGAGAGAGAGAGAGAGAGGGAAAGAGAAAGATCGTATTTAAAACCGGTTCAACCGAGTGTCTTCCTCGCACGAGACAAGGAGCAGAGCAAAGATGGCCGCCGCCACTATGAGCCACGTGTTCGATTACGAGAACGAGCTGAACGATAATCTGTACAATCTGAAGATGTCGGGCAAAGGTACCACGACCCCGAAACGGGTGAGGAGCGTGTTGAGACCGATTCTGAGGTTGTTGAAGAAGAGGACGAGCAGAGGGAAGGTTGGAGGGAAGGGGCAGAAGGCGATGCCGCAGGTGGAGATCTTCACCGAGGAGGTTGACAATCAGAACAACGCCAACGAGGCGTTGGAGAGGAGATTGTTGGCCGAGCTTCAGGACGCCGAGGAAGGGGCCGCTATCACTGTCTGTTTGGACGGGCAGATGACAGTTGTACCCGTTGTTCCTGGCCAGTGCTACGTGCCCGTACATTTCGCGCACACCCACGCAGGGGACTTCTACTGGACGACCCTGAGCATGACCGACAGTGATCTGTGCTACAAGGAGCGCGCCTTCTCGCAGCATCAGACACCTGAGATGCAGGTTGCGTGAAGAGATCATCTCTGGTGTACACCTCACATCTACCTCAACGATGGAGAAAAATCGAAAATAAAACCTCGATCTTGTCGAAGAGATCTTGGTCGCGAAGAAGATCTTGAACTGGAAGAAGAAGAAGAAGAATTCCTCGTCGTGCCTCGCCGAATGTGAAGATTCGACGAGGAATAGAGGGAACTTTTGGGTGATCTTGGGGAAGAAGGTGGAGAAGAACCATGTTTCGAAGATAAAAAGGGGGTTCCCTCGAAGGGGTTCGTTCTATCAGAGACTGCGACTTTAGATAAGATAGTATCGAAACTGTGATAAATAGATTGTAGTTTTTCAACTGATCTTTCGCTGAGAAAATTGGGGAATTTCGCTCTCTT